TTATTGATTCGCTTTATTGTTTATTCATTAATTTACAAGTGGCTCAGGTTATGACCAGAGTATGAGAGTGTGATTCGAAGGACGGAAATATTTTGATGAAAGGAACGAAGATTCTGAAATCAATTAAGAATTCAGTGATGACCACTCGATTAGCATTCGCGACGCCCTCCGAAACAAGAAAGCGGCGGAAAAAAATATTTTTTTGGGACGATTAGCTCTGCTAGGAAATGGGGTAAGAAGGCCAGGAGGGATAATTGAGGGAAGCCTGGTGGGCAGCTATGTGCACCAATCTTATTTGCCTTTCATTTTCGAAGGCCATCTAGTAATCATGAGGCTGGATCGTTGAAATTTCACAAGCGAATAAATTTATGAAGGGGCCAGGGATTTTTCCAGTACCAAAAAAGGACAGACGGTTGAGACATAATGGCCTTAAAATCTTGATTATTCGGCTACAGCCTCAATTCCAACAGTCAGTGTCCTTCGTAATTATCGCGGTGCCCCTGCGCTCGCACTTTCAGGACCTATTCCTTCACCCATTCCGGACCGTATGACATACATGCGCAGTCACGCATTTTTCTTTGCGACATTTCATATGGCCCTAATTTGGTTCACATTTCACAGATATTCTTCTTCTTTTTCTCTCAGAAACAACGAAAAGTTGATGATAATCCTTTCAGACTTCGTAAAAATGACCACGGTTGGCCTTAAGCACTCCTTTCTAAGAAATTATTCCTAAAAAGATGTTTTTCCTTGCAGAATAAATTTTTGATTTTTTTCGTTTTTCACTAAAAAGCTACTAGATATGGCGCAGATCAAATAATTGCGCATTTGTTCGTCGTTGTTTTTCTCGAAATATGCGGTTGAAAGGGGCTCTGATCGTGATCTTTTGTTTGACGGCAAGGCTATCGGAATCGATGAATTGCTACAGAAACAATTTCCCTGACCACGAAAAAGTCCGTTTGATAGACCAAAATTAAATATTGAACTTTTGGCCTGATTATTTTCGCTATCCTAGAAAAGGCGATGATCGCTAGGATCGTATGCTGGCAGGACTATTGTTAGTGTAGAGGGTTGCTGAGGGGTAAGTCCTTTGGCAGCACCACAGACGTGTCTTAACATGCCAGGCATTCTGCATAAGATGTACAATAAATCGTCCAAAACTTCGACCGCCGGTTTTCCCAAACTGGATATACGGGATGCCCCGGGTGGATGGCTGGGGAGCAGGAACAGTGAAGCCAACATTCACTGCTTCATATGGGGTTCTAGTTAGTAAACCTTAGTTTAGTGGCAATGACGAGTTACTCAACCCGGTAGTAGGTTGCTGTCACCTGATGTCAGTTTCAATGTAATTGCGCCGAAAGGCCACCTCCCGGGCTCTGCGCATTAATACTTGCCAACGGGTGTACAGGTCCCCAATAGCTCACCCTGTCTAGTTTTTGCTCGCTTTCTCGGAAGGGAACAGACCTGGCGCAGTAGGGAGGAAGGGTTTTTTTTGCTTTTTCGCTACGTCCTGTCGTCGTCGTCAAGTTATAAAATAGAGATTTGTGAAATACTGCGAAGCCGCGAAAAGATACCAATCAAAGTCTGTGGAGATAGCCTTGTCAATCCTTGTAAAGAATACTTGTCAACTCTTTGAATCAATGAACACGACGATGAGAAGTACCGAACCGCAGAATTTTTTTCTTCAGAAATAAAGAACACTAGAGATTTGCACTGTCATATCTGAATCGAACTCGGATGAAGGATAATAAAGGATATCTTCGCCGTTAATCAATCCCTTTGTGGGATGCGGCACGCATTCTACTTCCATTCAGAATCGTAGTGGCTTACTTGAATGCGATGTGGCCTATACAATGACTTGCGGTGGCCAGCCGATGTACAAGTCAGTGTTCTTATCCCTAAGCGGACAAGACGGGTACTAATCAATGTGTTCCTCGGAGAAGAGAGGATTGATTGGCCTAGGGAAGTGGTCTACCTGGGAATTTCGAAACCCAGGACGTGCGAGTGGTAAGCGCGCCTCTTTTCACTACACCACCTCCGCCTCTGGATCGAATGCGGATACTTTCGAAAATGCTACTCTTTTTTGGATCTATTATTTCTTCAAGCGTGCTCTGCTTCACAATGTGGAAACGGGTTTGGTTCCCTTTACTATTTCACAATTGAGGCACATCAATGGATGAGATGGTAAGGCGTGGCACGTTAAAGACATAAAGCACGATAATTTGGCACTGGATCTGAATGTTAGCAGGGGAAAATGGCGGAAAAGGAAGTGAAAACAGTTAAAACTTCAAAAAAGCCTTGTTCTGCCACGGCTAGTAACAGTTTTGGGCGAGGTCCACGCGCGCCAATAACCGCTTACGGTAGATACGGCTGCATGTATGTACCTCATATATCCATGCAGCACCGCAGCCACTTCATACCAGTCCCTACGCTTCATATTGTACTTCGCAAATGAAGCGATACGAGCATCAGCATCGTTCGGACATTTGAGGGAAGGGGCAGGGGGGGGCGTCCGGTCGGTATGTTGCAGCTTGATAGGGCACTGTAAGTTTTTTGCAATTTTGCAATTTTTGCAATGTTCCGGGGCTTTGCAAGATAGGGTACTGCTGCACGGTGCACGCAACGCGACTACGACAGCGCTAGAGCTAGGGACGTGTAGGTATCGATCTAGGGTCACCAGCGTTGCCAGCGTCTGGGATAGGAGATTATGGCGCGATAGGAGGGCAGCAGACAGCTATTAGAGTATGGGGAGGCAGGAGGATAGCAGACTCTGGCAGGAGGTGGCGGGATAAGGTAGATGATGGCGCGATAGGAGGGCAGAAGACAGCAGAGTATGAGGCAGGAGGATAGCAGACTTGGCAGAGAGATGGCGCGATAGGAGGGTACCAGCTGTCTGCTACTATGTTGGTGCGCGGTGGCAGACGCTAGATCGGTAACTATACTTCCCTAGCCCTCGAGACGCTGGCGCACGCTGGTAGAGTAGACGCTGGCAGGCGCAAGATCGATATCTATACTTTCCTAGTCGCTTACGCAATCGGACGCTCGGATCGCTGGTGGACGCTGCCGCAAGGTATGAACGCGGCCTTAGGTAGCCCCAAAGCCTAAGTAAGGGAAAGGGAAGCAGTGGCGCTGTCGCCTGGTCCAACTCAACTATGTTCGATATTGACGGCATGGGAACAATTCTAATGTCACATACGCTTTTCAGATCAATGCCCATGGCGATTGTGCGGCCGGATCCGTACAGGTGGACGCCGTGTTCACCGAATGGACGAACTCAGCCGTGTACCGTTTCGAAACGAGCTAACTCGTACTCGGCTAGCTTCACACCTCAGCAAGTCGGTAAGTAACAAATGGTATTGTCGAAAATTGTTCGCCCATGGAGCTGTGTTTAGCAGCAGGAACGTTTGCGCGAGATTACCAGATAATAAATAAACTTCTCATTCAAAGTGGACTTCCTTTGTATTAATATTAATTTGACAAGTATTTTTATAAAGAGTACAAGATGCTCGCATCGGAAAGGGAAATGGAGTGGTGTTCCGATATCACTGATCACAAACCGGATCATCACTTCCGGTGTCACCCAAAAGGGCTAACTCCAGAAAAACCCGTCGCCAACAAAAGGAAAAGTTGAGATGATGCATCGTTTCGCTGCAACTGTTTCCGGTTTCTATTGACCACTTCTTTTTCCCCGAATTTTTAGCGCTGATTAGATTCCTGTGGTATCGCGTATGGTTTCTGTGACCGTTACCACTACGTACACCAAGCGCCCTTGAAGGCATGAGGCACGTAATTTTGTAGTTGCTCAACAATAGTAACAGGGGTACTATATAGTGAGGAAATTGGCGAAAAAGCGAAGTCAAAGGGCCCAAAAAAAAACTGCAAAAAGCCTTCGTTCCGTAGACGTTGGGAGTGCATTTTTTTGGACGGGTTTCGTGTTGGCATCGGTGCCAACAACCGCTCCGGTGGATACGATTGCACGTATGTACTCTCCTTATCCCTGAAACAGGGTAGGCGTGGCATTTGAAGATGATTTACATTGGGTTACTCGTGGGATATTTCAGTTTGAGGCAACTGTCGTCTTGTTCCGTTTTGGACAGAGACTTGACCACAACTTGTGTCAAAATGAAAATATACCCCAAAAGCACAGCCAGCGTTCAGTTGAAGTACGCAGCCACGCCTACCACATCTCAGGGATTTCGAGTGCATTCTTACGTTTATATAGAACGCTTCATATCAATCGTACATCACCAATCAAGCGATAAGGGTGCCGTTGATGAGATGGGCGGCCAATTGTGGGCGGGCGATTGCGGGTGGGCGTCCGGGACGACATGTCGCAGCTTCATAGGGCGCTATAGGGGCGCCTTCGCTGAATAAAGACGTCTTGCAGCGCTTACATAGGGGCACCAAATCTGTCTTTCTTGGCGAATTTTCCTTCAAGCCTTGATTTATCGTGCACTTTCCTTAGATGAGATGAAAGGGCCCAAGACGTGATTGAAAGCGTAGCAGTTCCCCGCAGCTACCGGATCCATCAGATTCAGGCAAAGTGTGGAGAACGCAGACGGCGCAAGGGAATTCCTTACACCTCTCAATTTTTTCGCTTGAAAAAGCATTGTTCACGGATATGCTACAGTTTCCGCGTTCACAACTAAGTATATGGACACGCCCTGTCTATTCCAGGGATATGGAGTGTACTAATGCTAGAAATACAAAGCACTTAAGTGTACGTTCGCACTCCATTGACCTTTTATGAGTGGCGACGAGTTTATGATGAGTCACGACAAAAAGATCGAATCCGCATCGAGTCAACAAAAAAAGGCTATTTAGTAGCCCGAAAAAGGGTTTGGCGATCCGCCAGACTCACAGATTTGGCGCTTCTAATTAGGAACCGCCCATTTAAAGACCGTATCACGTGTTAGTGGTTCATAAATGGGTGATATCGAAAGACAAACGACCCTCAGCACTGGCTTTGAAATTCGTACTACTTTTTTTTCCATGAAGGAATGTTACTACAACTATATTTAGGAGTCTGGAAAATCGGCATATTGTATGAAGGCGAACATATCCGTGGAAGCCCGTTCTCATGCCAGGTATGATGGTTCTCTTTGAAAGAGCATTTCATAACTAAGTGAGCGGGGCAAAACCCACTGTGAGTAGGAGATACTGGTCAAGGAATGCACAGGTTGTACTCATTTCGCGGCTCAGTGCTGTAAAACCATGTCACATGTCACCGGCACTAGGTTCGCCAATGTCGAGCTACCCCGAAAGTTAAAGCAATTCTCGTTTTTTTTTCGAGGAACAGAGTAGGCCATCGTAATTCGGCGATTTCGGTACGACCCCTACAAAAACTGTGATACGAGCTTCACCCTCCCCACTGTACCTAACATCTTCCTCATTCTTCAAAATCTGCTGCCACTTTTCTCAGTTTTTCCAGATGCTTTTCAGTTCTTCCCCTGAGAAATCTAACCTCGAGCAGGAGAAGGGGGGTTTGTCGCGGTTGCCGAGAGGGGGGGGGGAGTTTATTGCTACTCAGGAAAACTTCTATCAAGGCCGGATACACTCCTCGTCAGCCAAATATGACCCCTTCCCCCAGGTAGGGCGCAGCTCTCCAACGATGCTGTGCCTTGCCTGAAACGAACATAATTGGTTTGGTTCTTGGCTCTCTTGAGAAATCCAGGTTTATGGGTGGGAAGGTCGTGCAATACAAAAAATCAACTCTATGAGGTTGCCCTCAAAGACACTCAGCCCTTAGCGTCTTTTGGACCGCTGTGCCACTCTCATCGGTGATCCTCACCTATTAAGATGACAAACAAGAAACCAATGAGGAAACCGCAAATCAAGTTTATCCGCTCCTATTAGTGGCTTGTGTCTTTGAATGAGCTATTTTGACAACTCGTTTATGACCAGCTGCTTGGCCACTGCAGCCCCTTACACGAATCCCACTGACCATTTTCTGCTGATAGAGGAATGTGCCCTCAAGCATTTACCACAGCTCGGCTCATTCATGTATTTTTGATTACTTGTTAGTTATGGGTGATGATTTGAGGTATTCGATGCCGGGCTGGTGCAAGTCTATGGACTAGATGTCGGACTTGTTGGGCAAGAGTTGAAATTCAATGTCAATGCCTCGGAGGCTGGTACCGGCAACTTGGAGGTAAGGGAATTTGTTTGCGACAAATCGAAGATGTTTCATTAATCTCGCTCTCGAACCGCTTATCAATGCTCAAATAATTAGTGTTTTTGTGAATCCCGTCTTTGAAACGAATCCGCCCATTCGCTAATCGCATACTCATCTCTTCAATCCTCTCCATGACCTTTTTTTCCTCAATCCAATTTCGACTTCTAGAGTGATGTGCTTTTCTTGTTGGTCCTCCTGACTGGCATTGACGCTGCTCATGTCTAAGCGCTTTGTGGACCATTTTCAGGAGTAGTTTGGGTTTTGATTTGTATCTGCTTGACTTTCTTATCTTCAGCTGGAGTGTCACAGAAAGAATAGGCGACATTGGCCCTCCTCTTGGGCTTGACCACTCATCTTTCTTTAAAAATCTCAAACTTTCTCAAAATGTATTGCTCCTGCTCATTTAGTGATTAAGTTCGGTTCTGTAATGCCTCTCTCTCTCGGATGAACTTCTCTAGAGAAACTGAGCCAGCCTCACAGTATCCATAATTTTACTGTTGTGATCCCAAAAATACTGATTAGCAAAAATGTTAACCCCAACTTGAACCCGTACTTCACGCTTTCCCGCGAGTGCGTTACTCCTTACGCATTTTGTGCTGTATTTTCGAGAAAAAAAACACTGCTCCCCTCACTTCAGCGGCAGGTGCACAACCAATCACGAGTGAGCGTTCTTAGGGGAATCCACCCTCTCACTCGGCGCGGTCTCGGGTCCACCATTACATTCGGAATCCCTGAGATGTGGTAGGCGTGGTCGCGTACTTCAACTAAACGTGACGGTAGCTGTGCTTTCGAGGGATATTTTCATTTTGACACAATTGTGGTCATGTCTCTGTCCAACAACAAGGGGCAGTTGTCTCAAACTGAAATATCCCACGAGTAACCCGTTCTATGCCACATTCAAATGCCACGCATCCTCCATCTCAGGGATAATGAGTGTAGTTAGAGGTAAACTGTGCACTTACCTTCATGGGTCCTGGTCCCAGTCATGTGGGAGGGAAATGAGCTCGCAGCTTTAGTGGCGCGCTTCTTTCTTGGGTCAGAACTACACAGGAACGGGGCGGGAGGGTAATGATAACGGGGTGCCCCTTTTGCCCGCGTTACCCTCAAGATGCAGTGTGCCACTTTCTCCTCTCAAAAGTGAACGGGGGGGAGGGGTGGAGGGTAGTGACGTGTGCCGTCTCCATACTTCGCCCGCGCTGCCACACTGCCTAGCCATAGGCGAACGCGCTACTTCTCTGTGCCCTATCGCTTCTGTTTGAGCTCTACCGCTCAGTGCGTGTCGTGCTGGGGAACTGTGGGCGGAGTCGGGAGACGACCCGAATGTGGCTACTTTGTACCCCGCTCCCGTGCACTTTTGAGTGAAGGAGTCGGCACACCAGTGCAATTGCGGACCCACTCATCTCACATATGGGAAGGGGTCAGAATCCACGGAGGTGAGTGTACAGTTTGTTTTTAGCCTCTGAGAGTCAGAAGGTTCGCAGAAGCTGACATTGAGCCTAAATTCACTATGCAGCCGGGAACCCTCTCACACTGCTCGCGCAAGTTGAGTCTATGCTCTAAAGCATCCATTTTAGAGCAGTAAACTGTTTTCCTAGTGATG